GGGTAAGGTTGGGAAAAAATACCCCCCTAGGGATATTAAAAAAGGCCCACAGCCCAATTTCAGGAACCAAAAGGGCCAAATTTGAACTGGAGGTAGGTCTTGCATAGGGCTACCACCATATCACTTCAAACATCTCTAAAAAGGATGCACAATCGTGAAGATGGCAGTATGTTTTATCAAGGGGTAAGGTTGGAAAAAAATACCCCCCTAGGGATATTAGAAAAGGCCCACAGCCCAATTTCGTGAACCAAAAGAGCCCAAATTTGAAATGGAGGTAGGTCTTGCATAGGGCTACCTCCAGGTTACTTTAAACATTGCTAAAAAGGATGCACAATCGTGAAAATGGCAGTATGTTTAATCAAGGGGTAAGGTTGGAAAAAAATACCCTATTTAGGATATTAAAAAAGGCCCAAAGCCCAATTTCGTGAACAAAAAGGGCCCAAATTTGAAATGGAGGTAGGTCTTGCATAGGGCTACCTCCAGGTTACTTCAAACATTGCTAAAAAAGATGCACAATCGTGAAAATGGCAGTATGTTTTATCAAGGGGTAAGGTTGGAAAAAAATTCCCCCCTTGGGATATTAAAAAAAGCCCACAGCCCAATTTCGTGAACCAAAAAGGCCCAAATTTGAACTGGAGGTAGGTCTTGCATAGGGCTACCTCCAGGTCACTTCAAAACTCGCTAGAGATGACGCAAAATTGTGAAAATGCCAGTATGTTTTATCAAGAGGTTGGGCTCCCCAAAGTTCCATCTTGTTGCAATGAAATAGACAGTTTTCTAAACCTGAAAAACAAATTGCACACTGCTGGAAGCCTTGCAATTGTGTGAACAACCAAATTCCATCAAAAACTATGGCTTGTTCTAGTGACCCTGCACTCCAGGACATGAAATGAAAGTGTTGGGCATGTGTTGTCTTTTTAGTGCCACCTCAACTTCGACATGTTGAATTTCACAAAGTTTGGAAACACCTTCTACACATTGCAAATGTACTGGGAGGAACTCCTGTGAGGTGATTTTGGTATAAAAAGACGCACAAATGTAAATGCAAAACGTGGTGCAATTCTACTCTCCATTTTAATAAATGGATGTAGAACCAAAGCATACAACTACTATGCTTCTAGTACAACTCCCCCGAACTGTAAAGGCTTGAACTCGGCAACAGAGCCTCAATGCGAAAACATACCCTCCCACACGACGCTTGCGAGGGGAACCGCGGCGTGCTGCGACGTCGTTACCGTCGTTCGACGAGGTTGGCGAAAGCACCACCGACCGATAGAGGTTGAGAGTGTTTAAAGGTTAGTGCGGTCATATATCTAGAGATATATCACTCGCGCACTGAGCCAGGTCCGTTCAGGTCCGGTTTGTGTTCTATGGTGTTACTGCCCAGGTCTGCCAGGTCCGGGAGGGGGTTTGTCCGCTGGAACAGAACGCGCGTTATATATTCCTGGAAAGCGCAAGCGAAAGGAGAGAGGAGAGATTTTCAAAATTGCGCAACAAAAAACTGCTGCCCCAGGGCAGCAGAGATATATTACGGGGCAAAATGACGAAAAAATAGCGTTGTGTTTGGTGAGATGCCCTCACAACCCCACTGCCTCCCAACAGAACACCTTAGTCCATTGATCCCTCAGAGCGCAATAGACGGAGAGTTGTTCGACCCATTAGAAATACACCGAAGGGACAGTACGCGCAGCAGTTACAGGACGCTAGGCACTGGGAGACTAATTAGGAACGCGTTAGAGAAAATACTTGTGAACGCATGGGGAGTAACTATGCTGTTTTTTTGCAGGGCAGGCCTAGGTACGCGAGGTGGGCTAAAGTGGTGGCGGTTGTATTTTTGGGGTGTGGAGGCCTAGTACACCCTTGCGCCTGATGTAACGCCGGACGCAAGGTGAACTCCGCGATTGAGCGAACGTCAGAGTTGCGTCACGTTTGCGTCAGATTTGCCAGGGAGGGAACTGAGGGGGGTGTTTGCCTGACGTAGATGTAATCTGTAGATGGAGCTGTTCTGCAGACATGTCGATGTAACCAGGTTCGGGTACGTTGTGCCAAGTTTGGGTGAAAAATTGCGGGCTGACCCTCGATCCGAAGCAAAATCTCTCGCTTTCGGAAGGTGCTTAATGTAAACTTGCACTTTCCTTTTTTGCGTGCAACACTCAGCCTCAGAATTCCGACATCTGGCAGGCAACTTCTTGGCTGCAAAAAACCCCTTCACGTTGCATGCAAGCTTTTTGCATGCACTCATACAAATCCAACAGCTACCACACAATTTTCACGACGCGCGGAAATCAGCAGCTACGAAGCACGCAAACTACCAAAGGAAACAGTTAACACTGAACTCATAAAACACTATGAAATCCAGCTAGCACACATTGTCCACAATAATCTTCCCCCATTGCTCGCTCACAAGAGCCACGCATGTCCACTTTGCTGGCAGCTTGTGCTGGCACAACCACCTAGTGTCAGATTTGGGTGTGGTGCTGTGGCCCTAGCTAAGCAAATTCATAGGGTCCTCATCGGTTTGGCGGCTTCTTCATATCCGTCCATGGCGCGGTCCACACCCTCGCGCATCAGTTGCATCTGTTATTGCAACCCTATGGCTTGCACTCGGCTTATCGTCCTTGTTCGTGTGTGTGCATGCATGGCATAGAATGACTTGTGAGTCTATGTCATTGCTATGTAGTGCTCGTGTGTGTGCTTGAATGGTGTATCACAATGAGGTTTGTGTCGGTCAAGTCGTTGTTTGCGCGTCGCATGTGTTTTTTTCTATTTTGTCGATTGTGAAGTGTCCATTGCGCCGCAGGTGAGTGCAGCAAGCCCTCATCAACTCAAAAAGAATTTATCTTGCAGAACCAAAACCAAGAGCTCAAGATTCAAGCCCAATGGACACAAATAAATATTAAAATAATGAAAATAGTAATGCTACTTCGTATAGTTTTGTATTTCACTGGTGTAGCCCCTTGTTGGGTTTGTTTCGAGATTGTTCATAGTTGGGGACTCAGTGGTGGTTTACCACCAACCTGGACCTCGGCTCTTGGGGTTTGTAGAGGCTGGGAACCATCTCAATCTCGATTCTTCTTGCTAAGTTTGTACTTCTAAGACTATAGTGGCTGCTCTACCTCCTGCCAGCCCAAGCACAAGTTCAACACCAAGATCCACCCGTTGCTCCCTTGCAACCTAGCCTTGGCCCCTCTAGGGATGAGCCTAGAGTGTTTGGCCTTGACAAGTTCAACGGTGACAACTTTGCTGAGTGGTCCTTTAAGATGGAGAACATCTTTGACGAATATGATCTGCTGGAGGTGATGGAAGGAACGGAGAAGCGCTCCGAGAACGACCCGGAGAAGATCCTGTGGGTGCGGAAGAGGGCAGAAGGCTATCTTCTACTTGGGCAAGTGTTGGGGAGCAGTCAAATCCTTCACATCAAGCCTTTTCAGCATGAACCAGCAAAGGGACCAAAGGCATGGGCTGCTCTGAAGGGTGTACACTCTCCTGCAACAGCGGTGGTGGCTGTGGTTTTGGAGCGGCAAATGGCGGCACTTCGAATTGAGGGCTGGCAGAGGGCGAGCGAGCAAGCAGCGGGTGACGAGTGAGTAGGCAGGGGATGGCGAGCTGTGGGCGGCGAGCGGTCCTACGACGTTTGAGCCGGCCGGCGACGAGCGGGCGCGGCGAGTTGGTGGGCGATGGGCGAGCGGGCAGGCGGCAGGGCTGCGAGCAGTGGGCGTCGAGCCAGCTGGCGGCATGCGAGCGGGCATGCGGTGGGCTGTAAGCAGCTGACGGCAGTGGGCGACACGCAGGTGGCGACGAGCAGTGGGCGGCGCAGAGCTGGCGGCGAGCAGCAGGCGGCGCGGGAGCTGGGGCATGGGGTAGCGCGATCAGCGGGCAGTGCGGGTAGTGGGCTAGGACTAGGGCGCAGGCCAGGGCGCATGCTAGGGTGGCAGATTAGGGCCTAAATTAGGCTAGGAGCGTAGGCTAGGGCAGGAGAGGAGTGGGGAGCACCTAGTGCGGAAGCGTGGGGGCTAGGAATTAACCTAGCGATGATACCATGTGAAAGTGAGAGAATGAGCTGATTTGACACATGCAGAATAGGGTACCTGTATTGGGGCTATCCCTACTATAGTCTGCACATAGCTAGTTTACAGTATGCAAGCAGTGTGGTCTTAACTGAATTCAAAAGAAGGCGACACATGTTATTGGCGCATTCATGACGCCCCCCATGCTAGTCTGCTTTGATATTTCGTCCCTGACACAACTAATTTTGACAGTCAATGCTTATATTCAGTGACCCAACCAGCACCCGTACCTACCGTGAGCTACACAAGATCTTGGCCCATCGAGTTCGACGCGGCTGATGTCAGTGCTGCATGGATTTCCTGGTTCGATGGGTTGATCAGACCAGCAAAGACCATTTGTGGGTACTCACTCCGGTACTCACGCATAGTGCTGTCCTATTTATGCCAACGACATGCCCGATGTGGGTAGTCTTTTCTAGTAGGGGGAAGGTGTAAGGAAAATCTACTTCCTGTGTAGGACTATGCTACACATAGCCTAGCAAATTATTTGTATCTTCATTCATCATAGGCTCCCTTTAGTGCATTCTTCTACACTTCTCAGAATGATATCATAACATCTGAAGTTACTGAAGAGTTCATGGCGGCCGTGGGATCCACATCCTGCGGCACAGTGATGTGTGAGCCTAATCGAGTGGTACGGTTTTGCTCCGGCTGCGCGTGCCTCTCCAAATGGTCAGCAATGCTGGTCTGGAAGGCGGCGCCGAACTGAACCAGCTCGTACGTACCAGCTAAACACACCAGCCACGCTCGGGCTTATCAAGAAAACCCTGGTTCACCCATGTCGACCCAAGGCTAGGGGCAGGCTCGGTGCAACCGTTCTACCTCCCCAATCACTCTTGGATCCATGGCTGCCGTCCTTCCACCCATTTTAGTGTTGCGAGGGGTGCTTGACTCCTGACCTGATCACCCACCCAAAGTTGTAGTGATCGCCTTTGCCACAGCCAGAGCCGCGCCACTCCCCTCCCGTGTGAGCTTGGTGTGACAACTGATACACCCTCAACTTCACGCCTTCATCATTTCGCATGCAACGGTTGTCAGAAAATAACTCGGGTCGATGTGAGCAAGCTCGGGTAGTGTCCTTTCTCGCGTTCCCCTTTGAGAATTCTTGAAAACTAACTTCTACGCACGCCGCGTGAATGGATCACCCGAAGCTTGCGCCCGTGAAGGTGAAACCGCAATGTGCGGAAGGCGACGCAGCAGACGCGGCGTCAACGCAGCTGAACGAGCAAAGCGACTCTGCTCAGCCGCTGTCGCCAACGGCTCGGTTCTTCTTGTCGGACGTGTTCTACACCACCGTGCTGTGCGCGCTGGAGTTTAAAGACCGCCTGGCGATCGACGAGCTCCGGACGATCCTCTCGGATACCCTTTTGAAGCATCCTCGGTTTCACAGTCGCATGGTAAAGCCATTTCACCTAGGCCGACTCTCATCGCAACGAGACGCGGAATTCAATTCCTGGTAGACGAAAGACGCGAGCTTCAATTCCTGGTAGGCTAAAGTCGCGGGCTTTAATTCCTGGCAGACGAAAGTCGCAGGCTTTAATTCCTGGTAGTGGAGGACTGAGCAGGTAGTAAGGGCCTCAGTAACGCCATTCATTTTACTGCGCCAATTCGGTCGTCCGATTGCAATCCGCTCGTTACCAATCCGACTGTCTCGATAGAATTCGCTCGTTTGATAGCATCGTCCCCGTTTTGATCCGCTCGTCCCAACCAAATTGGACGACGCGCGTCGCCTTATACGAGGCCGTTTTCCCGCCGTCTTCTGATTCCTGTCTGTTAAAGGCAATGTTGTGCGTCCGCGCTGTTCCCAAGGTCTAATTCTGAGGCGCCTCAAAACCAAACGCAATGTTGTGCGTCCACGCTGCTCCCAAGGTCTAATTCTGAGGCGCCTCAAAACCAAACGCAATGTTGTGCGTCCACGCTGCTCCCAAGGTTATAATGCTAGTAATGCAGAAAATTCGTGGATGTTAGTCATCGTTTTCAGGCGCGTAGAAGCATCATTCTCTGCCTGCGATGTGCGCATCACGTGCGTCACGCATGACAATGGTGAGCTGGTTATGAGATTTCTCACCAACTCATCTTATGTGCTTCGTTCATGAAAACGAAATGATGTGGCAGGAGAAACGTGGCTGCAACGGCGGCGAGCAGGTGTGGGTGCGCACGCAAGTCGACTTGGCCTACCACGTCGTGGAAGGCACAGAATCCGACCAATGTGACAGTAACGAGGGAGCAGGGGGCGCGGAGGAAGCTGCAAGACCGGCAGAATCAAGAAGCGCGGAGTCGGAATCGCCGTGCTGCGAGGAGGGGAGTGTGGAGTGGCACATGCGGCGCCTGCAGCATATGCCACCCTTCGACCCCTCCCACCCTCTCTGGCGCGTGCACCTGGTGTCTCTGCCCCACGGCCGATCTGCTGCTCTCTTCCGGTAATGATTCACTCTGCTCTTGAGGCGCCTCAGTAACAGACTGCAGCAAATGGCACCATTCAGCCAATCTTGCCCTCTCTGGCCAGTCAATTTGCATACCTCCCCTCCCCCATTTTCGCTTGCTGCTCTCTTTTGGCAAGGTCGCGCACTGCTCTTCTGATCTGATACGGCACAGACGTCTGTTTTCCACCATCTCAAGGCGCCTACTGGCCTTTCACTTACACAATACTGCCGTCTCCCCCCCTTCCCCCCTTTCCCCCCATTTCCCCCCCAGCATCCACCACTCCCTGGGCAGCGGTTTGTCGCTCATGCCTTTGACGCCTTACCTCCCATTCCTTGCCTCTACCCCTTCCCCTCACCCCTCCCCGTCTGCCCATTCGCAGCACCCACCACTCCCTGGGCGACGGCTTGCCGCTCATGTCTCTCCTTCTGGCCTGCAAGCGCCGCACCAACAACCCCGCCCTCCTAACAGAACATCTCCTTCGCTCTCCTCTCTTTGCCCCCTCCCTCCCCACCAGATGTGCCGCTCACGTCACTCCTGCTGGCCTGCATGTGCCCCGCACCGCCCCGCCCTCCTCCATGCTTATGTCGCATGCTGTGTCTTTCTTTCTCTCTCTCAATTTCCCTCCCCCGCCCCTCCCCGCCTGCCCATTTCCAGCATCCACCACTCCCTGGGCGACGGCGTGTCGCTCATGTCCCTCCTGCTGGCCTGCACGCGCCGCACCGACGACCCCGCCCTCCTACCCACCATCCCCGGCGCCAAGCGCCAGAGCCCCTCCCAGCCGCCCGTTCAAGTCCCCGCGGGAACGGCAGCAAGCGGGGTTGATGACGAGAAGCAAAGGAGCAAGCAAGGTGGCTCAAATGGAGACGCTGGGGAGGAGGAGAGCAGTGGAGGGTTGGTGGTGAGTGAAGAGCTTCAGGAGCAGCTGGTTGATGCGGATCAGACTGAGGAAGAGAACTTAAAGCCAGGCCAGCCGCAGGGTCAGCTGCACATGCCGTCGGCAGCGTCGGCGTTCACCCTTGACTCGATGACTGCTTCGCCCTTCACCCCGCAGCCAGACGGGCTGACAGAAGACACGCCCACAGCAGCACAGGCTGCAGCAGGGGGGGGTGCTACCAGGGAGGAAGGGGCAGGCAGTGCGGTGGAGAAAGGGGGAGGGCGAGGGGGGTGAAGGGGTGGTGGGGGTGCGGAGGAGGGCGTGGCAGGTGGCGTTGGTGCTGGGGAACACTCTGTGGCACGTGGCGGCTTTCATGGCTGTGCTGATGTGGCGCGCTGACACCGACACGTGTGTGAAAATGAAGGGGAAGAAGGGGAAGAAGGGAGGAGGTGCGGTGGTACAGCAGCCGGATGGGGGAGAGGAGGGGCGGAAGGTGGGGGAGGAAATGGGGGGGGAGAGAATGGGGGGAGGTTTGTGTTTGGAGTGAGCGGGCCGCTGTCCCTGAGTGACATTTCGAGGGTCCGAAGAGCCTTTGGTGCAGTGAGTTGCATGGGGCTGGCTGGGCCTTGCTCTGCCATGGTATGCTGCGCCATACAGTGCTATTCCATGCCACACCATGCCATGCCACACCATGCCGTGCCGCACTGTGTTGTGCAGTAACTACTCAGCTTGAGACCATGACCATGTTCACAGCGTGCTCAGCTGCCCATCATTCAATTATTGACATCATTGTGAGTGTATGCTTGAAATTCCTTCCACAATCCATACCACAACCCCTTTCACCACCCCTTTCACCACCCCTTTCGCCACCCCTTTGGCCACCCCTGTCGCCACCCCTTTCACCACCCCTTTCGTCACCCCTTTCACCACCCCTTTCACCACCCCTTTCACCACCCCTTTCGCCACCCCTTTCACCACCCCTTTCACCACCCCTTTCGCCACCCCTTTCGCCACCCCTTTCACCACCCCTTTCACCACCCCTTTCACCACCCCTTTCACCACCCCTTTCGCCACCCCTGTCGCCACCCCTTTCACCACCCCTTTCACCACCCCTTTCACCACTCCTTTCGCCACCCCTTTTCCACAACCCCTTTCCACAACTCCTTTTTTACAACCCCTTTCACAAACCCTTTCACCACCCCTTTCGCCACCCCTTTTCCACAACCCTTTTCCACAACCCCTTTCCATAACCCCCTCAGACCATCAACGACGTCTCGGTGACGATCATCTCAGGCGGGCTGGACCGCTACCTGCAGCACCACCACGCCCAGGCTAAGGAGGCAGGTGACTTAGATTCACTATAAGCAGGTACCAGAGTATATCACAGAACAATGCATGATCTGCAGCGCTTGAGGTTGGTGGCTGCTCGGAAGGCAGCAGGTTGGTTGCCTCCTCCGGTGCCACCACGACCAGGCTGAGCGAGCAATTGAGTGAGTTTCATCACCACCATCCCAAATCATCCTTTCCTCCTCCCAACCATCCCTTGCTTCCGGCAACCCCCCCATACATCCCTAACCACCCTCTCCTCCCTCTCCTAACCGCCCCCTCGCTCTCTCCAAACCACCCCTTTCCCCTCCCGAAATTCCCCTCCCTCTCCCACCATTCCTCTCCTTCCTCCATACCACGTCTCCATTCCCTCAGTGTCTCCAGGAGAGCCTGCCCCAGTCGTCACCTGCCCGCTGCCCCCCTCTGTTCGCCTCAGTGCGCTCTGCGTTGTCAACATCCGCCCCACGCCTGGACTTCAGGTAAACCTTCCCTGGTTTTTTGCTAACTCAATGTCTAAGGTATACCTGGGAGAACCTTCCCAAAGCAAGCCTGGTGTCCAGGTATACCTTCCCCAACAAAACCTGGCATCCACTGCACTGCACTGCACCATGTCAGTACCGCACTGCACCATGCCATCACCGCACTGCACCTTCCATGTCTCAGCTCGCTTGACCAAACCCCCTGCTGTCATCAATCTCCCTCCCTTCTTCCCCCGCACTCCCTCCCTTCTTCCCCCGCACTCCCTCCCTTCTTCCCCCGCACTCCCTCCCTTCTTCCCCCGCACTCCCTCCCTTCTTCCCCCGCACTCCCTCCCTTCTTCCCCCGCACTCCCTCCCTTCTTCCCATGCACTCCCTCCCTCCCTTCTTCCCATGCACTCCCTCCCTCCCTTCTTCCGCCTCCCCTCCTCTGTGCTCCTCAATTTCTTTCCCCAGGAAATGGCTTCGATGCTCGCTGGTCGCTCCAAGGCGCGCTGGGGCAACTGCCTCAGCACGTTCCTGCTGCCCTTGCCCGTGCACTCGCCCTCGCTCACCAAAGGGCTGCCGAATACGGAGGGGGCAAATGTGAAGAACACTGACGAAAATGCGGCAGGGGAGGTGGTGGGGCGGCTTAAGAGCAGCGATGAGCAGGCAGCAGGGGAGGTGGAGGGGCGGCGGCTGTGCATGGTGGCGGCCATGTGTGCGTCCAAGCGTCAGTCGCTGGAGGCGCATTACAACTATGTCAATGCACGCCTCGTGCTCGCCACTGCTGGCATGAAGGTGCTTTTCTCCAATCTCTTTCTCGTGTGGCCCTCTTTTTGTCTCTCGTGCTGTCGATTCCTCCCACTACAATTATGTGGCGCGGGTGTAGTTGTAGCGGGAAAAAGCCCGACACGAGCCCGACTCCCTCGTGAAGTTAAACTCTCTCCGTTTTTGAGTAAACTCAAAAGCTTCCCACTACAACTATGTGCATGCCAGCCTCTGCTCGGCGAGTCGGCGCTGCTGGCATGAACATAAGCTCTCTCCCCCCCTCCCCCCCCCCCCCCCCCCCCCCCTCCAGCCTTATTTCCTCTCATCTGCCTCTGTTCTCTGCCAAACTCCTGCTGTGTTTCCCCACCTTCTGCCCATGCGCGCCCTTCTCAGTTGTCACAAGCAGCTGCGGCGCTGATTCGCAGCACCCTGCCTTTTCAGGCCGATGCTCTGCCTGCCTTTTCACACCGATGCTCTGCCTGCCTTTTCAGGCCGATGCTCTGCCTGCCTTTTCACACCGATGCTCTGTCTGCCTTTTCAGGCAGATGCTCTGCCTGCCTTTTCACACCGATGCTCTGCCTGCCTTTTCACACCGATGCTCTGCCTGCCTTTTCACACCGATGCTCTGCCTGCCTTTTCACACCGATGCTCTGCCTGCCTTTTCACACCGATGCTCTGCCTGCCTTTTCAAGTTTTGAGACGCCTCAAAACGATGTTCTGCCTGTCTTTTCAAGCTCACTTGTCTCGCCTCCCCCCTCCCCCCCCCCCCTTCCCCTCTCCCCCCCCCTACCCACCTTCTCCCCTCCTCCCCCCCAAGCTGCAGGAGCCCTGATGCACGGCGTGTGCCTTCAGACCACCATTTCGTTTCACAACATGATGCGCCCGGCGGAGGAGGTCATATCTCTCTCCCTGATTCCTCTTGAACCCCGCTCCTAACCCCTCTCAACCCCCCAAGCAAGCAGCAGCGCTGTGCACACAGCCAGTGCCATGCCATCCGACCAGCATGTCCTTTTCTAACATGATGGGGCCCGTGGAGGAGGTCCCAACCCCCTCCCCTGCCACCTCTCTTGATCTTGCCTCCGCTTCCAGGCAGCGGGAGCGCTGATGCACCGCCTGTTCCAGCAGACCACCATTTCGTTTTCCAACATGATGGGGCCTGTGGAGGAGGTCAGCTTGGGCGGCCATGCCATCGCCCGCATCAGCCCCACCGTTGTGGGGCAGCCGCATGTGAGTGATGTGGGTGATGGGTGATAGGTCGGGGTGAGTGATGGGCGATAGGTTGGGGTGAGTGATGGGCGATAGGTTGGGGTGAGTGATGGGCGATAGGTGCGGGTGAGTGATGGGCGATAGGTTGGGGTGAGTGATGGGCGATAGGTTGGGGTGAGTGATGGGCGATAGGTTGGGGTGAGTGATGGGCGATAGGTTGGGGTGAGTGATTGGCGATGGGTGCGGGTGAGTGATGGGCGATAGGTTGGGGTGAGTGATGGGCGATAGGTTGGGGTGAGTGATGGGCAGTAGGTGCGGGGTGAGTGATGGCGCCAAGCCAGGCCCCACCTGGCTTGGCGCCATAATACTGTCAGACTTAGGGGAGGATGTATTTGATCCACCCTTTTGACACTGCATTCTACAACTGCCCCTGTTCCCCGCGACGCCTCTCCCCTCCATCAGGCGCTCACTCTGCATTTCCAGACGTACAACGGCTCGGCGCACATAGTGCTGTCAGCTCTGAAGGAGAATGTGCCCGATCCAGCCTTTCTCCTTCGCTGCTGTGAAGACGCCTTCCATGCTCTCAAGGCATCGTTGAAGTAGTGTGGGAGTGGGAGAGGGGTCACATGAGAATGGGAAAGAATCTTCCACTTCTTACTCACCCCGTTGCTGAGTGAACTTGTGTCATACGGCATGCAGAAGACATTTGTTATGGACCAGGCCCCTAGATATCAGACTTTTAACGCTGATTCAGCCTTTTTTCAGGGTTTTGGGATAGGGTAATGCTGATTGGCTGGCCTTTTTTCAGAGGTGGATGCTGATTGAAAAGTTATTTTTGTCATACTTATCTTAGTATGTTGCAGTAGACTATACAGGTTTGTGCCTTAGAGGGTTCAACTCACTAGCTTATATTACCTTGTACCCTCCTATTCTAATCCATTATTCAGTTGTAAGATGGTATCAGCAGTAGGTAGGTCCCGCTGCCCGCTCACGCTTCCGCTCTAGGTCCTAGCCGCCCATTCCCCCTAGTCGCGCTGTTCCTTGCTAGCCGCGCGTCCGTTCCCCCCGGCCCCTAGCGCTCGTTCCTGACGGCCCCTCGCGCCCGTTCACGCTGGCCCCCCTAGCACCCGTTCCTGACGGCCCCTCGCGCCCGTTCACGCCGGCCCCCCTAGCGCCGTTCCTGCCGGCCTCCTCGCGCCCGTTCTCGCCGGCCCGCGCGCCCAGCGCCCGTTCCTGCCGGCCCCTCGCGCCCGTCCTAGCCGGCCCTCGAGCTTTTTCACGCTGGCCCCTAGCGCCCATTCATGCCGGCCTCCTCACGAGGGCAGAAAGGTGAGGAGAGAGTGAGAGGAGCAGAGAGTGGAACAGGGACGTGCAGAAAGAGGGAAGAAGTTGAGTGTGTAATGAGTCGATTTTTGAGTCGACTCAAAAATCGACTCATTAGACACGGATTATACACTGAGATAATTTTTGTCGCATGGAAGGCTGGGCATAACTTGCAAAAGTTACTCGTTCACGCGAGGCTCCCTGAGCACCAGCTGGCAAGATGTGGGTTATCCACGACACGTCCCGAGGAATGAAGACCTGACACCTTGGAGCTTTCCAGGGTGTTTTGGATTTGCTGACCAGATTTCAGTCACGGTTGTTCCAACCTTGAAGTTGTTGTTCTCGTAGTGCAGTTTCTGTTTAAAAGCTCGCTTGTAAACTCACTTTTATAATTCCACCAGCACTGATGAAGGTCTGATTTGGGGCCTGTCCCAGTCAGCCGAAACTAGTTTGCATTTTAATCTTCTAGTGGAGTTGAGTTCGGAACTTCGAATTCTCGGTTTTCAACAGGGGTATCAATTTACCTACTGTCACTCTTTTTGCTAAAGTTTTTCCTCTTCGCTGCAGCCCACCCTAACGCTTAATGGCTACGAGTTCATTGGGTTTCCCAATTTCTTTGGGTGACGCTGGCGAAGAAGATACGAGTTTCGCACTGATTCCACGCGGAGCGGACCACTCCTCCAAGACCTACGCAGGATACAAGCGTTCCCGCACCGGCAAAGGAGTTGGAAATTCCGCATCGATTCGCGAGGAAGACGAGCAAGACAAGCAATCTGAAGATTCTCCCGACATGGCCGACATGGACGTCCAGAAAGACGGCAAGCCTGTGGATCAGGCTCCTATCAACCCGACTACCGATCGCGTGTCTCACATTCCGGAGCCCTTCAAGGCTGGACGGCGGCGGCGGTCAAGGGCTTCAGGACGGACTTCAAGGCACTCCTCAAGGCGAAATCGAAACTGAAGAAGATGAAGGCCCTCCATGAGCAAGGTCTGATTCTTCACAGCCTTCGCACCAAGGTCGTGGAGTTCCAGACCAAGTACCCTCTGACGCGGGAAAAGTCGGCTGCATCGGTCGCCTCTGTTCATCTCGAGAACCAGAAGCGCATTCACGAAGATTTCATCAAGTCCAAGCAGACGGAGGTTGAGGAAATTCAGTCAGCATCCGCCTCTCACGTGGCAGTTCTGGCGGCCAACCTTGAAGACTACATACAAGGCCTCAGCTCCGACCCCGAGCTCACCGTATCTGATGCGGCTAAGAAGCGCTTTCGGAGGATCAAGGCATTGTGCATCGAGCAGGCCAAGTCTGAGATCGTCACCGCCAAAGGATGAGATCGTCATCCAGGAGCTGCACAAACAGGAGGCGCGTGAAGCTGGAGAGTTGAAGAAAGCTGCTGCTGCTAAAGAGATGGAGAAAATGGTAACGGCTCCGGTACTCGATGAACTCGTGCTGAAAGCTACTAAGCGGCAAGTCGAGGCGATGCGCAAGGAAGTTGTGGCGAGCATGACTACGAGCGTCACTGCGACCGTCGAGGCAAAGCTGACTGCAAATTTCCAAAAGAGTTTGTCAATGGGATCGCAGGATCTCAAACCGGCCCCCTCGTCCTCGAAGCCCAAGGCGGACCCGTCCAAGAACCCGAAGAATAACTCTTCTGGGAACGTGGCAGATGTACCGAAGGCTCCGAAGAAGCGAGGGAAAGGCAAGAAGAAAACAAAGTCTCCAAGTGGCAGCGGAGGGAAAGGCCAACAATCTTCCTCGACTACGGCCCAAGTTCCAAAAAACGGCAGCGGCGGCCCAGGAAAAGGGCCGCGCATGAACTAACTGCACGCGATCTTGCACTCCGCCGGTTCGGACGACTGACTTTACGGCAGGTGCAGTCGCGCGTTCGGAACCGGGGGGTACACAACCTGAGCTCCAAGGCGCTCGGGATGGGACTCAAATTCGTACCTACGCCGCCATGGAATTTTTTCATCGAAGCATATCTGGATCAACTGCATCGAAAGATCTCCCTCAGTCTTTACTTCAAGGATCAAGGGTCTTCAGCCTCATCACGTTTCCGGGTGAAGAATCCAAGCTGGAGACCCGAGCGGGACGTGGTCCCGAAGCATGTCTTCAAGGAGGCACGAGCCGACCTATCTTTCCTGCTGAAAGCGTGTAAGCCGTCCCATGGGACTCAATCTTTTGCGAGGAGTCCGCACGGCTTTATGCTCCTTATCGCTCGACAGCGACACCGTCATCAAGCCTGCTGACAAAAACGTCGGAGTAACTGTGGTGGATCGCGCGCACTACATCGCTCTCTGCATGGAGCATCTTGACAACGCGACAGTGTACCAGCCGGTTCGTCACGACCCAATTCCTTTTGTTCTACAGCAACTGACGGAGCTGAAGGCGACGTGGGGACCTGCTTTTCCTAACAGTCTTTCGAAATATTTTTTCGATCGACCGCCAGGGGGATGGCGACCAGCGGCATTCTATATCCTGCCAAAGCTTCACAAGAAAGTACCCGTGGGACGACCGATCGTCGCCTCACACTCCTGGGTCACGACTAATGTGAGCCGATGGCTGGATTCTCAGCTACGACCACTAGTTCTCAAACAACCGACCTACCTGCGCGACTCCCTCTCTTTGCTAGCGAAGCTGGAAGCTACGGTTTTTCCACCAACTGTACTCCTGGCCACCTACGACGTCACCTCGCTCTACCCAAGCATCTCCATCGATCGAGGGCTCGAAGCAGTTAGCAATCTTCTTCTGAGGGCACCAGCACAGCTCCCTCAACCGCTCATGGCTTTCTTGGGATGGGTCATGAGGAATTCTTTCGTGGAATTCGACGGCAGGATTTTTCATCAAGTACAAGGCACTGCGATGGGAACTCCGGTTGCACTCTGCTTTGCGGTCCTCTTTATGAGCTGTCCCGATGAGCTGCTTAAGGAGAGGTGGACCGGGATATCACCAAGTTACCACGTCCGTTACATCGACAACGGCCTTATCATTTGGCTAGGCTCGCGGGCTGACCTGGAGGAGTACCTGCGAACCTTCAACGGCTTCGATCCTTCCATCAGGATCACGTGGAATATCTCGGAGCACTCCGTTGATTTTCTGGATGTTGTCCTTCACAAGGGGCAGTGTTTCAAGGAGTGCGGTCGTCTTGACCTCGGCACTTTTCAGAAGCCGATGAACAGATACCTCTACCTTCCCTTCTCCTGCTTCCACCCCCGGCACTGCAAGGAGGGTTTCATACGCGCCGAACTACAGCGTTATCTACTGCGTTCGACCTCCATGCGCACCTTTCTTGCAACGAAGCAAGCTTTCTTCCAGCGGCTTCGCGGCCGGGGTTACCCCCTGCTTTCCTTCAACCGATCTTCAAGGGCGTCCTTTTCGCGCAACGCGCAACACTACTCGCCAACACTCTCGCAAACCACCAACTTCGACGACATTCTCTCCCCTCATCACGTGGAACCCTAGTTCTGAAGACGACCTACACACCTGTGTCAGCCCGTCTCAAACTAGGGGTCGTTTTGAGTCGACTCAAAAATCGACTCATTACACACGGATTATACACTGAGATAATTTTTGTCGCACGGAAGGCTGGGCGTAACTTGCAAAAGTTACTCGTTCGAGCGAGGCTTTCTGAGCACCAGCTGGCAAGATGTGGGTTACCCACGACACGTCCCGAGGAATGAAGACCTGGCACCTTGGAACTTTCCAGGGTGTTTTGGATTGGCTGACCAGATTTCAGTCACGGTTGTTCCAACCTTGAAGTTGTTGTTCTCGTAGCGCAGTTTCTTTTGAAGAGCTCAATGTAAACTCACTTGAGGACGCGCTTGCCCTCGAGGAACGGCATGATACCCACCCCTGGTGACTGCTTTTGAGGCACGATGCCCACCCCTTGCCACTGCCCCGCCTGCTGCCGCAGCTCCACTGCCTGCTGCCGCGGCCCCACTGCCTGCTGCTGCGGCTCCGCTGCCTGCTTCCAGCCGTTCGCCCCATGGGCGTGCTGCTGTCCGCCCTTCTGCCTCACACAAGCCCTTGGGGTGGCGGCTGTGCCAGCAGCAGTAGGAGCTGCAGGGGCAGCAGGAGCAGGACGAGCATGAGGAGCATGAGGAGCATGAGGAGCATGAGCAGTACTAGCAGGAGCAGGGGCAGCAAGAGCAGAAGCCATCGTAGAAGTTTTGACAATGACCGTAAGAGAACGCCAATCGAGATGAGTTCTTCGCCGTTGGGCTGATGGCCACTGGACTTGGCTCAGCTCGAAATCGCTTGACTGCTAGACTGCGCATATCCATCACAATTTAAGCGGCTCAGAGCTCCTATGACAGGAGAGCCTCCTGTGGGGAGGACGTCTCTCAGCGAGTGCCGCCGCATGGGTGACCACGAGCGCGCTGGCGCGGGAAGACCTGCTTTTCTGGCAATGACACGACCATAGCTGGCACACCCGCATCCAATTCATGGTGTCTAATTGAAGTGACGAATCTGAAAGACCCAAATCCTATTCGCCGCTGCGCCAGCTTTCCACGCAAAATGGCGGCCAGCACAGTGAGTGCTGCTGCCAGCGAGCCATGAGGATGACTCGTGTGAGCAAGCGCGGCTAGGCAATGCCGCAAAAAGGCCGTGACGAGTCTGGATCCAGGCGTGCCGCAGGCTGGGTGCGACTCGGCCACGGGCCGAGTTTTGGTATCTTACAAGTGCCAGTTGCATGTGATATTTCGAGAGACAGTGTGTGCAGATTAGGAACGAGTAAGGGGGGGTCAAACACACGCCACTTGACTTGGCACGGGGCGACGAGCACCCTGATTTGACCAAAAACAAAGAGGCTTTGCGCAGAATGGACAACTAGAGTGACACTGGCTCCATCCAGAAGCCATGGTCATTTTTTTCACCCAGACTCAGCTCTGCTGGAAGCTTCATGGGCCACTAGAGGCAGATGGCGACAAGCATCCTGTGAAACAGCCACTAGGCTGTTTGGAGTAGATAGTAGAGTTAGGAGGTATTCTTGGAAGACTCCAAGGTAGAAGTACCAAAGTAGTTTTTCTAGGGATCACATGATGGCTTCCAGTCAAGAAGCACACCACTATATACAAGGAGAATAACTAAGGCGCCTCGAGAAGGTTGCCCAAGTCGCTTCTCATCTTTGCTAAGCTAAGAACAGCAAGGCATAGGTAATGATTGCATGCATGCATACTCAGCTTGGCTGGAATTCTAGAAACTAGCATGCATAGTCTTGGAAATAACTATTGCATGCTAGCATAGTCTTCCTTGTACTGCTGTTGCTGACGGCGTTTGTAGAAATGATGAGATATAGTTGTGGTGGAAGAAACCATGGCTGTAGTTGTTTTCCGCTAGGTGCGCTGTCGATTATTCTGCTGCGCTGCTTGGCTGGGTTGCGTGCTCTCTTTAGTTGTTCCCAAGGTTGGAAACTCATATTGAAGGGTTGAGCAATTCGAGGTTGGATTCAACCTTCGAATTCCCCAAGGGTGTATTTCATGGTTCAGTTTCAACCTCGAATTAGATTTTGTTGAGCTGGCGAAACTTCGTTACATGAGTTCGCCGATGTCTTGTTACATTAGGAATTCAGCTGCTGCCTGGGTGTCAGTAGTGCGGATAAGTGATGCAGGTGTGCGAGGTTGCTGTCCTGTAGCAAGGAAGAATTGGTTTTGGCTGGTGGCAAGATTGATTGTGCTGTTGTAGGAGAATTCGATTGAAGGCAGGTGCATGTCCTAGTCATTCTGTCATGCATTCACACATGTACGAAGGGCATTTTCAAGGGTTCGATTCATTCTCTCTGTCTGGCCATCGGACTGAGGATGATAGGCAGTAGAGAGACGAATCTTGCTGTCCATTCTTTGAAAGAGGGACTGGCAAAATCTGCCAACAAATCGGGAATCACAGTCATTGATTAGGACGCAGGAATTCCATGAAGACGTACCACTTCTTTGAAGAAGAGATCAGCTACATGTTCAGCAGTCACAGTAGTGGAGGTAGGGAGGAAGTGAGCCATCTTTCTGAGCTTGTCAACTACAGTGAGGATAGCGTTGTAATGGGAGGAGGTGCGAGGGGCATCGGTGATGAAGTCGAGTGCGACATGACTCCAAGGAACTTGAGGAATTTCCAAGGGGTGTAGCAAGCAGTATGGAGCTGTGTTGCGAGCTTTGTTGCACTGACACATGTGAGAGCTGTGTACATAGGAGCGGACGTCATGAGAAAGCTTGGGGCCAGAAGAAGTTTGCAGAGATGGCTGCAAGTGTCTTGTCCACTCCAAAGTGTGCATTCTGGTCATGATGCTCGCGTAGCAGGAGGTGACGCAGCTTGCGATATGCTGGACTGAGATGACTTAGGAATCTTCCTTATACCTGAAAGGATATTCATAGCGGACGGGTTGATTGTTAGCAGCAAGGTTGAGATAGAAAGGGCCATAACGATACCCTTTGATGAACTTGCCGATGAAGCTTTCATCCCATGTAACACTGCCGATGGTGGTGAGCTGAGATTGTGGAGGCCGGGTTAGAGAATCAGCAGGGTTGAGGCGGCCAACGTGGTTCTCGATTTTCAGCTCAGGTACAGTGACGGAAGAAAATGTCCATATTTGGACCCTTTGTGATGTTAAAATGCGTATGTATTTTCTACACAAACACTTTTGAGCAACTGGCTTTAATTGACTAGTAGACTGCCGCCTAAGCAAGAAGATCACATGTCAACCAGCCTAAAAGGGCATGTTTATTATGCAACACCAAGAATAATATTCACCAAGAAGTATTCGGACAGTTTTTGCCAAATTTAAAGTAAGCAATTAACAATCCAAAATTAGTACCTCGTCCATCTCCCTTTATCCCTAACCACTGCCTTCACCCTCCTCGGCATACTGTCATGAGCCCCCTGCACACATCTGCCAATTCCCGTCCCATGTCCTTGCACCCGCTTCCAAGTCTGGAGCATCCCTGTGGGGGGGTGGTCATACTTGGCAAGCTCTCGTTTGATGTGTGCCCACAAGTGCTCTATGGGGTTGAGATAAGGGGAGGAGGAGGGCCACTTTAGGATTGAATACTGTTGCTCATAAACCCAAGCCTGCACAAGGCGGCTCGTGGCTTGGGGTCGTTGTCATGCTGGAAGATGACATCGGAGGGGGTTAGATAATAGAAATCGATGGTTCTACAAGCTCATCATGCAATATGCTTCTGTATAGCTCCCCATCCATGCGGCCGTCAATCTTACACATATATCGGGGCCATCATATGTCATGCACCCCCATACCATTAATGTCTCGCCCCCATGCTTGACGGTTTGCTGCACTTGGTGACCTTGCAGGGCCGCCCCATTGCGTATCCATGCGTACGTGCGGCCATCACTGGAAAAGCGATTGATCTTGGTCTCATCGAACCAGATCACCCGCTTCCAGTCTTCCATAGTCCAGTCAAGGTGCGCCTTGGCGAAATCGAGGGCGGTCTCTGATGTTATGGGCAGAAAGGCACGGCTTCTTCGGTTTCAGGACGGCTACTAAACCAGACTGCTTCAGGGCGTTGCGCACAATTCTAGGGCAGATGTTGATGCCGCGCTCTGATTCTAACAGTTCCGCGGCTTCTATGCTAGTCTTCGCATGGCCGGAAGTGAATGCTTGAACCAGTGAGCGCCTATCACGTACCGAGAGTATGCACGATCGGCCCGTTCCTAGGAATAATCGGCCTGACCGCTAGGCTGCTCGTGCGCTGGGCGGCTTTGTGTGCGTATTTCTGTACCATGCTCTTCCCTATTCCTAATGCCCTTGCGATTTGTCAAAAACTCTTACCCTGTCAAAGCAGGGTCGCGATCCTATCTTTCTGGCTCGAACAAAACGGTTGCATCATAGATAGGAGCTTGGCGTAGTTATCGCTGTACTATCGAGAAAAGAACAGAAGCTTAGATTGCGAGATCGCGAAATCCAGGCTGGAAATAGATATGGACTCGATGTTGGCCTAAAATGTCCGCATCGAGTGACAGTGGCGTATGAGTGTACTCTTTACAAGAAATTCGATAAAAGTTACAACACCAACTGCATAAAGTAGCTGAGGTCAAGAGGCACACTATGCTATCTGTGATAGTCGAGTTATGACAACATATCATGCCTAAATCACAATGTTTATTTAATGCAGCCGATTTTTTAGCCCATTTATTTTCGTCACTGTACGTACTGCTCTAGATACTCCATCCATCGAGCCTGTCTAGGGGTGAGATGGGGTTGTGTCTTCAGGTATTGCAGGGTGCAATGTTCAGTAAGAACAGTGACGGGTTGCATATGGACATAGCAACGCCACTTGATTGCATATGGACATGCATATGGACTTCTTGATTGCATGGACGATGGCCAGTGCCTCACGATCGTGAGTAGCATAGTTGCACTCAGCAGGCTTAAGCTTCCGAGGTTCGAAAGCAATGGGCTGGAGGCCATGTCCTTGATCCTGACAAAGGATTGCACCTTTTGCAACATGAGAGGCATCTGTCCACATCACATAAGGGAGGGAAGGGTCAGATAGGACTAGGGTAGGAGAAGAGGTTAATGCACATTTGATAGAGTCAAAGATTTTTTTCTGGTCCGAATCCCGATGGAATCCTTCATTCTTGCGGAGGAGATTGGATTAGAGGGGAGGTGATAGCAGCAAAGTGGCGGATGAATTTGCAGTAGTAGTTAGCAAGGCCAAGGAAGGCTTGTACTTCTTTCATAGAAGTTGGGGGTGTCCAGTCTTGAACGGCTTTGAGTTTGGAGGGATCCATGACAAGCTGGTTGTGTGAGATGGCATGGCACAAGAAAGGAATCGAGGCCTTTGCAAACTCACACTTGCTCTGTTTGACGAAGAGGCGATGCTTACGAAGTTGGGTGAACACTTGTCTTAGTTGCTCAGCATGTTCTTTCAATGATTTGCTTTAGATCGGAATGTCATCAATGAAGATTATGACAAACCGGTCCAAGAAATCACGAAAGACGTTGTTCATCAAGCACATGAAAGTGGCACGGGCATTTGTTTGTCCAAAAGGAAGAACTAGGAATTCGAAATGCCCATACCGAGTTCTGAATGCAGTTTTCTCGATGTCTTTGTCAGTGACATGAACTTGATGATATCCGTTTCAGAGATCCAGCTTGCTGAAAATTGTGGCTTTGTCGAGTTGATCAAAGAGTTCTTCCACATGTGGCTGAGGGTAGCAGTTCTTTGGATGGTAATCTTGGTTGAGTGCCTGATAGTCGATGCACATTCGCATGCTGTCATCCTTCTTCTTCACGAAGAGAATTGGTGCTGCATAGGGAGAGGTACTGACTCGGATGAAGCCTTTCTCAAGAAGCTCTTCCAGCTGCTTCTGGACTTCTTGCAGCTTGGCAGCACTCATCCGATAGGTAGCACGAACGGTAGGTTCTGAGATCTACCTCAGGTCTGAGAAAATATGTCTTTGAAGTCATCCAAGACCTGTTGAATTTCAGAAGGGATCTCAACAGCCTTGGAAGGGGAAGAGGGAGAAGGACTTTCACAGATCTTCTCAAAAGACAAAGAAAGAATTGAGCACTTGGGTCTTTAAAATATTTTTTTAACTGTCTTGCTGAAAGAAGGTTACAACAAGTGGGTATGGAAGGAGAGGAAGAAAGGGTAGATAAGGTTATGTCCCTTCCAGAGTTAGAGATTGTAATAGTTCCAAGGGTCCAATTAATATTGGGATTAGCATAGACAGCCAATCATGCCCAAGAATGATTTCATGGTCTCCAAGGGATGCTTGCTGAAATTGAATTTTGGCTTTGTAAGGTCCAATGGTACTAAGAACAGAGAAGGTATTGGTCCACATGGAATTGAAGTTCCATTTGCCTCAACACTGTCTCAGGTAGCGATTTAGGTTGGGTTGGAAGGGAAAGCTTGGAAAGTAGAGAGGAGGAGATAAAATTTGAAGAAGCGTCACTGTCAATTAAGGCTTTCACTCTTTGACCTCGGATACTCATGGGGAGAAGCAAAGGTTAGAAGGGCTATGACTCTCAAGAGAAGAGATGGAGGGGCTGATTTTGTTACCAGGAAGCTGCCCCAAACTCACTGGCGACTTCCGTTTCCCGGCGTTGGAAGAAGAGGCGATTGATTGGTGCGCCCGCGGCAGTACTTCCACATGTGTCCTTTCTTGCCGCACTTGAAACACGCGAAGGGTGCCCTCATGTTCCGTTTTCTTTTTTCCATCAGGTCCAGGTCCATAGGAGCGGGTTCTTGCTAGTTGTTGTCTGCTGAAGTGAAGGACTGGTAGGAGGGAGCAAACGGGAGAAGCGGGCTGCGAGGAAAAACGAGGCTTGCTGCAGGCAAAGGGAACAGCATCATACCGTTCAGCCAAGTGTATCATTTCCTCGAGCATGGTGCAGTCTCTCAGCTCCACCTCCATGCCCACGTTTGGCTTCAATCCACGCTTGAGGCGATCCATTTGTTCGGCAAGGGAGAGGTCCGGAATCTTTTTAGTGATGTCACGGAAGCGAGAGGCATACTCTTGGACAGATTTCAGTTGCTTGAGGGCAGCCAAGGAGTCTCGTGCCTTGATGTTTGGGTTCACGGGTTGAAATGGTGACGTGAAGACTTGCTTGAAGTGTTCCCAAGAGGTGATAGATGCATGCGCAGATTGCCACCATGCAATTGCAGAACCATGGGGAAGAGTTCCGGTGAAGGCAGTCCATTCGGCAGGTGCTATGTGGCTCAGCAGCTAGTACTTCTCTACGAGAAAGAGCCATCGGCTCACGACTGGCTGATTTCTCCCGGGAAGGAAAAAAACAAGAGTGGGTCTAGCACGCTGATTTCCATCTGATAGTGCAGCAGGGTTCACGCATGCCACCACTCCAACTTCAGCTATACTGGCTTGCAGTTCTGCCTGCAAGCTTTCTCTAAACTCAGAAATGATTTGGGCTCGGTAGGTTTGCAAAAAACCAGCCCAATCGTCAGGAGAAGGGGGCCCATTAGTCGTCATGACGAGTTCTAAAAAAAGAGGCTCGAAAAAAGCTCTGATAGCCAAATGAAACAGCCACTAGGCTGTTTGGAGTAGATATTAGAGTTAGGAGGTATTCTTGGAAGACTCCAAGGTAGAAGTACCAAAGTAGCTTTACTAGGGGATCACCTGATGGCTTCCAGTCAAGAAGCACACCACTATATACAAGGAGAATGACTAAGGCGCCTCGAGAAGGTTGCCCAAGTCGCTTCTCATCTTTGCTAAGCTAAGAACAGCAAGGCATAGGTAATGATTGCATGCATGCATACTCAGCTTGGCTGGAATTCTAGAAACTAGCATGCATAGTCTTGGAAAAAACTATTGCATGCTAGCATAGTCTTCCTTGTACTGCTGTTGCTGACGACGGTTTGTAGAAATGGTGGGATATAACTGTGCTAGAAGAAACCATGGCTGTAGTTGTTTTCCGCTAGGTGCGGTGTCGATTATTCTGCTGTGTTGCTTGGATGGGTTGCGTGCCCTCTGTAGTTGTTCCCAAGGTTGGAAACTCATATTGAAGGGTTGAGCAATTCGAGGTTGGATTCAACCTTCGAATTCCCCAAGGGTGTATTTCAAGGTTCGGTTTCAACCTTAAATTAGATTTTGTTGAGCTGGCGAAACTTCATTTCACGAGTTCGTCAACGACTTGTTACATTATTCCCCTCTCCAGCAAGCACCGTCCTCGGTGCTTGGGTAGTTGGAAAGTAGTTGGAAAGGGCACGTTGAGCATGTTGGAGTCTTGTCTCAGGAATTCAGAGGTTGTGAGTAGAATCGTGGGTGTGCGACATCTACAGGTTAGCAACGAGTAAGGGGGGGTCAAACACATGCCACTTGGCTTGGCACGGGGCGACGAGCGCCCTGGTTCGGCCAAAAACAAAGAGGCTTCGTGCGGAATGGACAAGTAGAGTGACACTTGCTCCATCCTGAAGCCAATAGCCAGTCTGGCAATGGTATTTCTTTCGCTCCAACTTAGCTGCGCTTGCAGCTTGACGGGCCACTAGAGGTAGACGGCGACAAGCATCCCGTAATTGGGCTTGGTGGGCTCTGTACTTCTGCCGCATGGTGTCTGCTGGCAACAGTAGTAGCGCAGGGGGGGATCTTGCGTAGGGGGGGATCTAGCACGGGAAGGCAGTACTAGCGGGAACGAGATTCTAGCGCGGGGGAGACTCGAAGTCCCAGGCGGGGATATCTCCTCTCCTACAATCCGAGGAAGTGTCCGACAGGTGCACGACGAGAGTGGAGATGGCAAGAAGAACTCCCACTTCTTTCCCCAGTAGGGGGGGGAGCTCTCTGTTGCGGTACGTGTGCCATGGTGAGGTGGGGTGACGTGCAAGGAAGGGAGCACTCTCTGGACGTGCAAGCGCAGGGTGAGGGGGACTCGCTGGGTGGGGAAAGCACTGTAGTTGACAATGCAATGCAGCGTGCTGCTGGTGCGCGGCTGCTGACGAGGCGGAGAGCGGGATAGGCAGAGGGGGCGTGGTGTGAGGTGGAAGACCAAAAAAGAGTTTTACACTAGAGGTCTGAGAGAGGCCCACGTTTTTTTCTGGGCGCGTACTCTAGTAACGGGCGCCTTCAAATCGTTGGCAAATTGGGCCTGAAGGTAGGACCGTGTTTACCCGTTTGGCAGGACCCTAGGAACATGGATGGCATTCATTGTTTCTCCCGTGTACCCCGGTAACTGTCGCACAATCGTACCCTGGTTACGCCTATGGAATTTCGAGAACACCCCCCGCGTCCGGAATTTATCCATTCAGTCACAAAGAAAAGAAAAAACGGGAAACCAAGCAGAATCAGCCCATTTTCAGAAAGTACAAACAAACAAAACTCGGCGCACGTGGAAAATTGCGCCTCCAACACGCACACAGAAACAGGTTTGCGCAGCACACGACCTACAAGAACTGCTTACAAACAAATTCTACGACACTCATGCTGAGTTCTGCAGGCATTTGACGTTGACGTCGGCGTCGACGTTGACATTGAGGAAGCCAGAGAGCGACTTTGAGAGCACTGGTTACCACCCAAACCAAGTGCACTTTCCCAACCTTGCTTGGAAGCCACGCGGCCAAATTGTGGGAATAGGACTCCCAACTCTCTCAGGTCCTGCGCGTTTGCCCGGCAGTCCCAAGGCCCAGGTCCTAGTGTTTGGGACTGGGACCCCTAGGGCGGAACAGTCGGGGGGCCCCGCCAGCGCCTGCCGCCCCTTGAACGTCGAACCTCCGGGGATCACGTCGTCGAAGGGGATGGGTAAAAAGCGTGCCCCTCTTGATAAAACCCCGTATCCGTGGGTCTGTCGTCGCCGCAACTGTAGCTGGCGACGGAGTCGGTTTTGACGGCGATCTCCGCATCGTCTAGCGACATCGTTCAATGAGACTGCGATGGCGTTGGTAACCCGGGGGGGGTCGGATAAATATTGTTGAAACAGTATGGTTGAGTGGTATGTAGAAGATACATGTTGAATGATTTTTTAACCCGTTATACTTTAGAACACCTTGTTGCTTGGTGATGGGCAAATATGATGAAAAGTGTCTGTCTGGCCTTGATGTTCTTCTACCGGGAACCCGGGGGCGAGTCGAGTATAAAACGGCGTGCCCTATGATTTGTCTCCTTTTTCGAATCTGCGATGGGAGTTTCGGGGACTTAGGCACTCAGAAGTTAAGTTCGTTGTTTCGGTGGGTGCATATCCGTCGAAGAGTTTCCGAGGGACCGTTCTCTTGGGGCGCTTCTGTGCGTGCGTATCTTTGGGGACGTTTCTGTTAGGGTTCAGTGTGGGCGCGTTTCTGTTGGGACGTTTCTGTGGCAGCGTTTTCTGTAATTGCACGTGTGTGTGAGCGGGATTCTGTGGTAGTGTTTCTGTGGGGACGCTTCTGTGGGGTCGTTTCTACGGAGGCATTTTTGTGGGCACGTTTCTGTGGGCCCGTTTGTGTGGGAACGTTTCTGTGGGTGAGTTTCTGTGGAGGCGCTTCTGTGGAGACGTTTCTGTGGGCGTTAAGCGTTTCTCCGTGTTTTTCTGTTGGAGTGATTCTCTGGAGAGCGCTTCTGTGGAGTCGTTTCTGTGGAGGTGCTTCTGTGGAGACGTTTCTGTGGAGACCTTTCTGTGGGCGTTTAGGGTGGGAGCGTTTCTGTAGGGACGCTTTTGTGGGAGCATCTCTGTGGGAGCGTTTCTGTAGGACCGTTATCTGGGGGCGCTTCTGTGGGTGCGTAACTTTGGGGACATTTCTGTGGTAGTGTTTTTGTGGGGGCGCTTATGTGGGGTCGTTTCTGCGGAGGCGTTTCTGTGGGCACGTTTGTCTGGGAGCGTTTCTGTGGAGGCGTTTCTTTGGGCACGTTTCTGTGGGCACGTTTGTGTGGGAGCGTTTCTGTGGAGGCGTTTCTGTGGGCACGCTTCTGTGGGCACGATTCTGCGGAGGCGTTTCTGTGGGCACGCTTCTATGGGCACGTTTGTCCAGGAGCGTTTCTGCGGAGGCGTTTCTGTGGGCACGTTTCTGTGGGCAGGTTTGTCTGGGAGCGTTTCTGCGGAGGCGTTTCTGTGGGCACGTTTATGTGGGAGCGTTTTTGCGGAGGCGTTTCTGTGGGCACGTTTCTGTGGGCAGGTTTGTCTGGGAGCTTTTCTGCGGAGGCGTTTCTGTGGGCACGTTTGTGTGGGAGCGTTTCTGCGGAGGCGTCTCTGTGGGCACGTTTCTGTGGACAGGTTTGTCTGTGAGTGTTTCTGCGGAGGCGTTTCTGTGGGCACGTTTCTGTGGGCACGTTTCTATGGGAGCGTTTCTGCGGAGGCGTTTCTGTGGGCACGTTTGTCTGGGAGCATTTCTGCGGAGGCGTTTCTGTGGGCACGTTTCTGTGGGCACCTTTGTTTGGGAGCGCTTCTGCGGAGGCGTTTCTGTGGGCACGTTTCTGTGGGCACGTTTGTCTGTGAGCATTTCTGCGGAGGCGTTTCTGTGGGGACATTTCTGTGGGCACGTTTGTCTGGGAGCGTTTCTGTGGGTGTGTTTCTGTAAGGGCGTT